GGCCTCTAGTATTTCTTGAAAAGAAATATAATATCAAGTACACCTAATTACTTTTTAATCATAGGGTTTTTACCCAAATTTTAAAAATTTTAGAATGTATTTTGTCCATTTTTTTATATTTTATATGTGTGTTATTAATCTTGAGTGTCGATGCATTTATATATAATCTCAAAGACTAGTAAGTTGCACTAAAGAATTGTGATATTTTGTAAATATTTACATATTTTTCTTATTACAGTGTCTTGAAAAAGGAATAAAACCATTCCGAAAGACAAAAAGTCAAAGAGTGTTTTTTTAACATCCAGGCCAATTTTCTGACTGTAACCCTAATAAACTGTGTTGTTTGTATATATATATATATATATATATATATATATATATATATATATATATAATGGTTAAGCTGAGAAAAACGAAGTCAATTTATATAGTAAATTCAAGTTAATTTTATATAGTAAATTCTACATAGAATTAATTACTTGTCGACTTATGTTGAATTAACTTTACTGATTTTATTTATCTAATTATAAAAGCGTTTTTACACTTAGTATTTATTTTCATTTAAAACATTTGACATTTTGAAAAAAGATTTGCACTTGTACCCCTCTGCTTCAAATTTTGCACTTCCCTCTGCTTCAAATTTTGCACTTGTTTCTCTTTGTCACTTACGTATCTTAGGAATTTCTTATAGTAAAATAAAAGAAAAATAACATTTTATTCTTCAAACAATAAAAAAACATTCTATTCTTAAAGAACAAACACTTTATTTTTCAAAAAAAAAACATTCTATTCTTAGAACACACATTTTATTCGTCATAATCTGAGACCAGGTCCAGTTGAGTGTCTTCTTCATTTTCCAAATGAATATCCTCTTCCAATTCTTGGGAGTTTCTTTCATGTTGTGGGTTATTAACGGATTCGCGATTTCGACCTTCATCGTAGCTTAAATTACGGTAAAAATCATGGTGAATGGGAGATATAAGGGTAAAAGTTGCAACACATTTTTGTATCTTGGGAGTTTTATTTTGATGGGATCTCAGCGGAGAGGCGGAAGTTTAATGACCGATGAAGGTCTGCAGGTTTTTTTACCCACTGACATACCCTTTTAGTTTTTCTCAAATCAACAGTGTTAAAGGGAAAATCTTCGGACTTCTTCTTCGGGTTCCTTCTCCTAGCGGAGGTTGGAAATCATCATCGCTATTTTAACTTTGTTGGCCGCATTTCTGAATAATTCTAATGAGCTGCAGCCGAACCACTCTCTCAAATTTCTTAGCCAGGACATTTTGCGTCGTCCAGGTTTCCCTTCCCTTGTATCTTCCCTTGCATAATCAACCTCAGTAATACGTACTTCTCACCCCTCATTAAATGTCCCAGATATCTTCGGACAGAGTATCCTTATAAAACAATGTGCAAGGTGTCTGCTTTTCGAAATGAAACCATTGCATTCTTCGTAAGCTCTTCACTTTGTCGTTCATTATCTCGGTTAACGGAGCTATACTTTTAAAATCATTTACATCCATTTTGTTCACCAAGAACTTTTTACTAGATTTAGCTACAACATCCATCCAATCACTGGGGACAAACACACAGGATGTTTTCTTTTTAGTTTTTCAATTACTTCAAAGTTTTGATCACATTCCATAAAAGAATGACCAGATATTAAAAATTTATGATCTATAGTTTCAATTTGTGTATATAGTATAACATAGTTCAAAAATTTAATAAGATGTGCTTAATAGTGGGCGGTAAGCTTAAAATGAACTTCAGAATTGAAATGAACATGAAATTATCTTCTCAGCTCCTCTTGACGCTTCTCCTTCATGCCACATGAACATTTGTGCTGTACCTTTAGCAAGGTCATGAATAATAAAATTATAGGTCCACAATTGCTTCAGGTAAAATACTTTGCTATTAGTCAATAGGGCTGTGGGCAGAGTCTTTTCGAGATCAAAGTAAATAGCTACCTGATCAGTAGATCCTACAGCCTCAGCTTTTGCTTTGTTTTTTGCTTGTCGAGCTTTATCTGCTTTTTTAAGATGAACTTCTTTATTAATCTTTGCAGCAGCTGCATCTTCTGGTCTTCCGGTTTTTATTGTGTTATCAAGCTGGTCACATAATGTACATGTATCTGTATAAGATCTGTGGAAACTAAGATTAAAGCGGTTATTGAAAATATGGCGATAGTAGCTGATTTTGACAGGTTGTTCATTGTGTTCATTACAAAATTCTTTGTAAAGTTCATACATTTTATTGACATTTAATGCACGATCAAGATATTTTCGATTTGGATTGTAATGGCTTCTATAATGACTTTTAAATTTTGGGAATGAGTTTATATGTCTCTTCACAAAATTTGTTACAGAACTATCAAACTTGTTGGAAGGTATGTGTTTTCCTCTTCTGTCAGTAGGTGGTATGTCAGTGGTAGAGTCAAATTTTTTTCTCATAACATTAGCAATTCATGTGTTGCTTATATCCAAAGTGCGCAAAAAAAATGTTTGCATATACGTTTCTCATTTAAATGTATAGTTGTGCTACCTCTTTTATGACTTTGGCTCTTTGAACTCTACAACGAGGGGCACTTACTCTAATGCACGAATGCAGAAACGAAGTTTAAATATTCCAATTTTGTAATTCCCAAAATTTATTAAAAGTATTAACTCTGTCATTTTCGGAGAACTCGTTGCATTTGTACCTACAGGAATGGGGATACGGTCGCACTTAGCTGTGTCAGCTTCCCCTTTTTTGTCCTACGTACTCTAGACCACTATTCCTTTTTTTCTTTGCAAACGTTTCCATTTTTCTGGATTTATCTTCCTTTTTCTAGGTTTAGTGATTCCTTCTGAAACGAAAGAATGCTCTGAAATCTCGCCAATACCATTTGAATATGTGTCGTCATCATCAGAGCTGTGTGATACAAAATTCTTGTCACGATCCGAGTCATCCTGATCTTCATCACCTGTAAAAATGAATTGAAATAGAAACTTAAAAATAATGACTTCGCTTAAGATAAACCCACTCTTTATATTTTCAAGCAAATCATCTCAAAGTATCATCTCTGGCCTCATCAGGGTATACGCTTGTCTAATTTTAGTTTTTAAATCATCTACATCTGTAGGTTCTACATTATAAATGGTTCCTTTTAAATAGCCCTCTTCTTCTTTGTCAACCATTTTCCATCCACTCCTGAATGTAGGTCTCTCCCAATTGCTTCCATCTTGCTCTATCTTGTGCCAATTTAATCCACTGTTTGCCTGCCACTGCTCTTATGTCATCTACCCATCTTTTTTGAGGTCTTCATATGCTTCTTGTTGTCGTCCCTGGTCTCCATTCTAGAATTCTCCGTGCCCACCTGTTGTCATTATATCGGGCTACGTGACCTGCCCAGCACCATTTCATTTTTGTAATTTCTTCCACAATATCCATAATCTTCGTTCTACGTCTTATCTCGGTGTTTCTAATCTTGTCTCTTAGTGATATTCCAAGCATGATTCGTTCCATTGCTCTTTGCGTTGTTTTTAAATTTTTACCAGATTTTTTGGTAAGGGCTACTGTCTCCAAGCCGTAGGTACAAACTGGTAGTATGGATGTATTATACACCTTTTTCTTTACACCAAGTTTATAGGAATGGAGGTGTTTTTCAAGATATGTGCTAGTTTGCTGAAAGCGCCCCATGCCAGTTGTGTTCTTTCAATTTCAGCATCTTGATTTGGTTTTCCTAGTTTAATAACATGACCTAGATATACATAATGTTCAACATTTTCTATGGTATGATTTTGTATTGTTATATCTGTATGGTCCTATCTGTAAATAGCCCTATACAATAAAATCTAAAGGTCATAAGGTCATAACCCAGGCGATCTTGGAGGCCATCGAAAAGGTTGGTTAGTTCTAATTCATGTATTTGGAAATGTATGAAACTCCTCTTTCGCGTAAAGGAATATTCTACAGTAGCAAAGGTAGCATTTTTCCGAGAATTTGGATACCTCTGACCATTTAAATATTCTTAAAAAAAATATAAACCTATTAAACGTCCATTAAATAACCCACGCCAAACATTAATTCCCCATCTCGTTTGAAAGCGAGTTTTGTTTAACCAGTGCGGATTTTGCACTCGCCAATAATGGGAGTTATGGCGGTTTACAATCCCATTATTATGGAACCGAGCTTTATCACTTAACAAAATTCTAGTTAAAAATTCATGAGTGTCTTGCATCATAATCGGTGGGTCACAATTCATGATTCAAACACAATAATGGTGGTTTCTTCAAATCGTTTGAACTGTAGTTATAGACACTCCAGTTTTTGCAGCAATAGACCTTATGGACACATGTGAATTAATTCTTACATATGCTAAAACATTTACCAAGTTTGAGCATTTGGAACCTTTTTCTTACAGTCTCCATCATTCAACAACATATCTACGTATTCATTAGGTGTGAATAGAAAAGGGGTTTTTACTACTGTAAGAACTCACAATAATTTAAAATTCGGTTTTAAAACTACAATGAACCTATTACCGTTGAATTTGGAATAAAAAAGCCTTTCGTTTGACCTAACCTTCACCGCCATAATGCATTTAAGTTTTTTCATTTTAATGATGTCACACCGCCCTTGATGATGTCACAGATCTCATGTATACATTCAATTGATAGTATTGTTGGTCCTATTCGGATTTCCCAGTTTTCAAATACAAATATTCACTAATTTCTGAATTTTAGGCTGTTAAAAACTTCTTGGAACATCCTATAAAAATACAGTTTTTTTAGATAAAAATATACTTATCCTCTTTCGTAACAAACTGGCTAACGAATCGTAAACACGAGGAAAGTGAATAAAATTGTATAGCAGTTCAAACGACACTAATAGTAAATAAAGTGCTAGTGCTAAGTGTAATAAATTCAGTTTTAATAAAACTAATTTTTATCAAATATCTTATACCGACTATATATCGACATAATATTGCTTCTACAACATATTTTAATATATTTTATTTTTAGATATTTTCACACGCTCTTGAGCAACCCTCTCCATTTAAGAGAATTTTACGAATCCTGGTCTATTCTTAGAGATGAAGAAAAAAATAGTATGCTGCCTAATATGGCAGCAGGTGAGTATATACCTACATACTTTAAAAATCATTATAGGATTCTTTTAATCCTTAATTGATCCCATATTCAAGCTTTGCGGTCCTCATTCCCTCTAAGGGAGAAAGTCGCCCATCACAGATACAAAAGGATTAAGCTCTGGGGGAGCTCTCTATTAAATTAGCACCGGCTTTTGGATGTTCTTGTAAAGATGTTCACCAAGACCTAGCTTCTTAATGTTCTCTGGGAGGCTCAGTTTTGATCAGTCGGCTGACTTCATTAGGATGCAGCCCATGGATACCATTCTCACACTGTCATTTGTCAACTAGTTTTAATACATATGAGTGATGAAGTTACTTATTTTATTATTTATTTAAACAAGTGGCGCTATTATGGCATCTAGAATTGCACATATTTTTGTTTTTAAAGCACACACAGCAATTAGTTTGGCATTATTTCTTCGAAGGTTTGCAAAAGCACCTCATATATTCCTGACGCAATGAGACTACAGCGACAGCTACTCGTACAGAAATATATTTATCCTGCACTTGTACTATGTTTAAAAACGGACTATCTGCTGTAACAATATCCGCACGATTATACCAACCTTTAATTTTACCGACTACAGTTCCTATACACTGTTTTTTAACCAGCATGAGTAAACCAAAAAGACAGATTCACACCTAAGAAAGTTACTAGAAAAGTCACCAAATACATCTTCTTTTTTTGTTGATTATCTCGGCCTTGCGATAATCGAGTAATCAATATCGGATAACCTTACAGGTCAATTCTAACCTAACTTTGTTTATTTATGTTTGAATAATAATTTTTTTCAATTCACTGTCAATATATATTACAATTATTACAATAAAAAAAAGGACGATTCAATCTATTATGTTACATTCTAGAATAATTTTGTAATTTTCTTGTGATGATCCACAACCAGGAAGAACAAAACCAACTGTATTAATACAATCAAACTAAAACACAACATTACTTTACTAATGTTCTTTTATTGTGATGAAAACAAAATGAAAATGCTTCTTAAAAAATATACACTATATTGAAAAGATAGTTGCCGTTTTTCTTATGATAATTAGATATAAATAACATACATTATAAATTTATAAACACTTTAAACTATATTTAGTATATCATCTAGAAAATATCACATTAAATAATATTCGCATATCACCAAGTCCAAATTATTACAAATAACTTCACAGAAAACAACAAGAGCCAGAAATCGATTTATATATTTGAGTAAAATAATATTCTGTGCATAATATATATTCGGGATGTATGTAAAAATAAAAATTTAATAATTTTATTAGTCTTGCAAAATATCCTCTCCATTTATGTCTTGGTGAAGTTCATGAGCAACTACATTATTTTGAATTCCTTCATTTAGTTTTTAGCAAAAACTAAATCTGTTTCAGATATTTCAGCAAGAAAGTTTTGTTTTTAGTCAGCAGCCCAATGTATAAACCATTCTTTCAATAATTTCACCTAAAAAAATAAGTATGGTAAGACATTCATAATACAGAAAATAAATCAATCATCCTATAAACAGTAAGATAACCAATCTATAGTTATGCTATGCAATATTTCTTGCAATGAATCTGCTTATATGTAAAGTAAACATTTTTTTTTCATTTTCTTCCCTTTTCATGTTCTTATATCTGTTGAACCAAAATACTTGACAATATTCCAGTAGAGCAGGGGTGGCCAACCTTTTAAGTCGAGTGCCAATATGAGAAAAAAAAAAAAATTTGGCGTGCCACTAAAATTTTTCGACATACTAATATGGATACTATATATTAATAATATACGGTACAATAGGATTTCTTATGTAAATTCCACATTTTTCCGTTTAGTCAAGATAGTGGAGGTTTAAAAAATATCGTAATAAGTAAAACATAACAACAAACTTACTTTATTGTTAATAAAAATAAAATAAAAACGTTAAACAAAAAAAACTTAAATATTTTCTTATTATCTAAAATTCAAATTATTAAACAGTTACTTATTTAATGTGGTATTTGAACTTGTATTTTTTTAATTAATTCATCTATATTGGGATTAATTTCGGAACTAGCCAACAGAATTAGATTTTTTAAATGCATGTCAGTTAATCGTGACCGATATTTTGATTTTATTATGTTCATAATAGAGAACATTTGCTCACAAACGTACGTTGAACCAAATCTACAACAATATCACAGAGCTAACTCGTGTAAATTAGGAAAATTGTTTGCTGATACAAATTTCCAAAATTCATTATAATTGGGATCAGTAACAGTTGAAATAATTTCCCTATATTTGGTTTTTAGTATAGTGTGGTTCTGTAAATCAATAATTTCGATCTGTATTTCAGCTGAGTAACAATTGATATCTTGCAGAGAAATAGAAAAAGGATTTATGAAAAGGTCAACATTCATTTTGTCTTTTTGAAAATCTTCAAACCGGGTATTGAATGAACCTAGCAAAATAGATATAAGGATTTTAAATCTGTCATAATTTGGAGTTCTACTGACCTTGTTGGCTAATTCCTGCATTAATGTGAAATGTGTCAATCTCTGTTCTCCAAAATCGTTACAAAAAAGTATAAGTTTATTCACAAAAGAAGATATATGACCAACTAGAGTAGGAAAAATACAATTTTTTCCCAGTAATTTTAAATTTAATAGATTTAAATGTCTCATAATATCAGTGAGAAAAGCTAAATCCCAAAGCCAATCTTTATCATTAAGTAACGAGCACTCACTGTGTAGTTCATTGTTTTCTTGCAAATATTTTAAGACGCACTCCTTTAAGTTCCAAAACCTTTCGAGTGCATTTCCTTTGGGAGCCAGCGCACACTGCAATGGAGAAGTAACTCTCCATCTTGCTCCGTTTCTTCCGCGAACAGTTCTCGAAATTGTCGTCGATTCAATGCCCGAGCTCGTATTTTGTTAATTCAGCGTGTTACAGGGTCAACAACAGATGACATGTTTAGGTCCTTGGCGCAAAGAGCTTCCTGGTGAATAATACAATAATACAGTACTTATAAACTTTTCTTCCCAAATAGTTTTCCAGTAATGTAACAAACCCCTTTAGTCTACCAACCATGCAAGGAGCTCCATCTGTACAAACACTATCTAATTTTGACCATTCAACTTTGTTGACTTCGATTACGTTTTTAAGCTGTTGAAAAATGTCCTCTCCTGTTGTTGTGACTAGTTGGCGCAAATCCAGAAGCTCTTCGGCATTTTCAAAATTATCATTGGTATAACGGACAAAAATGCTTAACTGCGCATTTTCTGTGTTGTCACAACTTTCATCCAACGCTAAAGAAAAGAATTTGCAGGATTGTAATCCACTTATAATTTGGGAAACAACATCCTGGCCCATATCATCTATACGGCGCATGACTGTATTTCGGGATAATGCAATATTATCGACCATATTTTTGATCTTTACATCTCCCACATTTTTAGCAAATATTGCCAGACTATTTTTAATTATCTCCTCTCCATCAGAGTAGGCTTTTTTCTTCCGGGCTAACAGCAGAGAAAGTTCATATGATGTTTTAACCGTAGTTTCCATTTCATCACTTCTCTTCTGAAACAGTGACTGTTGGCTGGCTAGGGTTTTCTTTTTTTTTTCAATAAAGTCGGCTCGCAAATATGAGCCAATAGGATATTTGTTGCTGAAGTCCTTATGCAGTTGTTTATAATGTCGTTCCAGGTTAAATTTTTTTGGGACTGCTACAGACAATCCACATATCAAACAAACAGGCTTTGAAGTATTACGATTAGTAAATAAAAATTGTTCTTCCCAAGCAGGTTAAAAATCGCGAATTGCAATATCATCTTCGTATTTTCGTTTTGAAGTCGAAGGCTTACTCGTGGACATATCGAACAAATACTTTTAAAATTTTAAAGAAACAATGCGCGATGACAAAATGTGCACATACAACGAAGCAGTTTAAAATAAACTAAGCAAGGGTAACGCAGTCCTATTGCACATTACGACAGCTAGGATCACGTTCACCAATCGCAGCAATATCGCTCGCCAGAGGATGCAATGATGCCGCATCTATCGTAACTTCCGTAAACCTACCAAGTTTCTTATTATTTTTTGTTTTTCAAGTTTTAATTTTTTTGAAAGTTTGATCAGTTTGAAAGTCCTATCAGTGGCACGCGTAGCGTGCCACTGATAGGACTCAATCGTGGCACGCGTGCCGCGGGTTGGCCATCCCTGCAGTAGAGTATACAATTAAAAACTTAAATTTTTTTTATAACTTAATTTATAAGATCATTACTTAGTATACTAGTCATCAAACATATCAAGTATAATTTGTTTAAATGAGAACATTGAAATGTAAGTACATGATACTTAAAATGAAAATATTTGTACACTGGTATGTTTCCAAAAGCATGTAACACAAAGGCTGATGTACTTGTGTCTATAAATAGGAAAAATATTTTGATCAAACAAGAAGGGTGTTATTACAATCATTTCTCATGTAGCTCATAAATTTTAATTACAAAAACTATTTCGTAGTAACATTAATATACCCGATTATAAAAATGAAACTATAAAATGTTTTAGATAATTTTACTATATAATTGTGGCCAACCCATATTTACTTACTTCAAATTGATTTGTTTCAAGAATTTATTTAATAATGAATGACACATATTTTTGAAGATCTGAGCAGTTGTTAATTTCATTTAAAGTGGGCATTTCATTCTTAAAAAAGAAGCTGTGCTATCTGCCGTACAGATGTTTTAACTCTTTCATCGTATGTTGCAAGAATAGAAGGTTGACCGTCAATATTTTTAGGACATCTTACTGTTCCAGTCTACTTATATTATTTAATTGTTCGGTGAATAGTTGAATTCGCGACACCTAAAATTAGCACTAGTACTTGACATTGAATCCATATTGTTATCTTAATAATACTGATATGTCGCTAAATAGTTCTGAAAAGAACTGTTTTTTATTATAAATGCAAACGAAAAATCTAAAAATGTACGGACAAAAAATCGTCGATATAAATTTTGAATTTTAAAATTTCACAAATGTCATTTAGTGTCAATATGTTAAAATTTAGTGGAGTAAACTTGCCTGCGGTTGGACTACAAACAAGCTTTACAGCGCGTAAAATTTGAATTACTCCTGGTTAAAAAACAGACCATAGCTGAAAAACTCTCATTTTTGTAATCAACAATCGCATATAGTAAATTTTGCATGTCGCTTGGGCCACGATAAATTTTTCCAACTGACAATAGTACACAGTCCCCAATTTTAAAAGGTAGCAATTTTTTAGCAGTGTTTGTCAGTATTTTTTCAGCAGCTCTTTTCTGTCCCAAATGGAATTCGTTTCTGTCTCGCAATAGATGTTTGAATATAACACAATACGCACAATATATTCCTGTCATTTTGACAGTTAACACACATTACGACTTCTTGCGTTTCGTTGATGTTTTCATATAGAGCAGGAAAAGGTTAAGAAGCAACTGGGAATTGGCGAATTCATCAATTACTTCTATTATTACATTTGATTTCTGCAATGAGTTACTTGTGTCGATTGCCTCTTCCGGTATTTGAATATCGCCTTGCTTTTCCGGATCGAGAAATATTTCCAACTCTTGTTGTTCTTATTCTTCTGGTGTTGTATACACGTTTAATAATCTCGTTTGGTAGCGTTGTAGACGATAACCCAATCTTTGGGTTAGTACCAAATCAAGCTTTGTATGGACTACGACCAATAACCCTATGAAGAGAACAGTTTTTTGAAACTGAACAAAATAGTAGCCGATGGAATAGTTGTGGATTTATTATCAAGCATCCACGAACGCATGATATTTTCCACGTCCTGATTACAACGTTCTATGCTCCCCTACGATTGTTGGTGTCGTGGTCGCCCATGTCTATTAAATTATCAACCATGTTCTAATTTGACTGGGTTATAATCTGCGGTAGTGTATAGGAATGAACGGCCGTCCATTTTTTTAAGGTTAGGTTTAAGTTGTTCTTACCTTATTCATTTCATCATAATTCCGCGGTTTTTTTGACGTCTTTGTTCACTTGATAATATTGGTTTACTTTTTCATAAAATACACCCTTGTTGATATCCATATTTATATAATAATAAACACTTGCAATGAGATATGTGATAAAATCTTAATTAGACGACTGAATTGACTAAACATACACCCGTCAGACGCTGTTACGTTCAGTCATTCGGCCGGCATCACCGTTTGCCGTCTGCTAGAGACGGCAGTCCCTAAAATGGCGCATAATTTCAGTCAAACAAAGTAATAATGAATATAATTTTGTAAACATTATATTGCATATAATTTCATGAGTTCTACATTAGTTCAGCGGTCCGATATTCGTTGCAAACTTTGGCATTTATTATTTTGAAAATCGCTACGAAAGTTGAGAGAAGCCAGTCTTTGGGACTACTTAGTTCTATTGGTGTTTAATCCGTCCCGGAAGCTTTTCCGTCTTTTACGTGTTGTATGCCATAAATTTTTTTCAGGGCAGCCGTCTCAAACGTCTCAAAAGTCCGAATAGCTATGATGATTGCCGAACTCCGCCGTGGAGATGGCACTTGAAGAAGAAGATGCCACAAATCACAACTTCTCTTTGATATTCGTTACAATTCATAAGTCCGAAGTTGCTATATATGTGAATCCGCAACATAATTATAGGGAGGATTCTTCTTAGGGTGCCTGTCCGTTCCGAACGTTGGCGATCATTCTGGCTATGATGACTTTGTTCGTTGCTTAACGGAATAGTTGTGTTGAGGTCTTTCTATACCATGCTCTCAGGTTAGCCTGCCAAGATATTCTTCATCCTAGGGCTCTTTTTTCTTCAATTTTATCTTGCAAAATGCATTGGACTAGCTCATATCTGCCTTGAGAAGTAAATATAGATAAGATAGAGAGGATAAGTATATATAAATATTTGAGTAGCTGGATCACAAAAACGCTAGACCGTAGAATAAAGGAAATAAAAGCATGAGAACAAGAATGCTAAGACGCTTCTTCTTCGTGTGCCATATCAGAATTATCCGATGTTGGCGATCACCATTGCGAAGGCTTCTCGATATTCTGCAATATGGAATAATTGTCCCGCATTTGATATTCGAGTCCATTCACGAATGTTCCTCAATCAAGAAACCCGTTTTCTTCCTACACCTCCTCGGCCCTCTATTTTGCCTTTAAGGATCAGTTGTAATATTTTATATCGACTTCCCGTTACTAAAACATTTTTCGATGTTTAACAGTCTTTAGCAGTTCTCTATCTTTGTTGACGCTCCTTAGTACTAAGACGCTATATTTTCTTAACCTCACTGTACGGTTGGGGGCCTGGGCTCTTTTAAATATCGTATGAATACACTCGATACATTTTAAAGGTGGCGTTATCCACGTTTGTTAGAAATGCCAGGAACAGCATTGTTGCAGATGTTCCTTGATTGGCGGTTAGGAGTGTTTGGTTTGCCTGCTAGAGAGTCTACGGTTTAAGTCTCTGTGAAACAATCCCATTATATACAGGTATCCCTTGACTGACGCATATAAAGTAATGAAGCTTGAAGATGTTGCTTTTCAATTAATGCGGAATCAATCCTGGATGTGTAAACCAAAAACGAAATGTTATAAAATTTTTCTTTTTTACTACTACTGTCTGTAAATCTTGATAATGAAACGATCGAACAATCTGTACTTTAACAAATTGTATATATCTAAATGATTCAAGATTATTTGTTTTGTATATTAAAAATATAAACAAAAAAGTTGGCAGGTACTGTAAGACACAGTTAGTAATGATTTTTATTGATTTCAGGTTTGAATTCTATATTATTTGCTATAAGTATTGATAAACCTGAGTTCAATAGCGGCGTGACGTTAAGAAAAGAAGTTTATCGGTGTAAAGCTGAGCCAATCATAGAAGCTCCCATACCTGGTAAGCAATTTCTTTATTAAATTTGTAGAATAGAAACAACAAATATTAGTTGTTACTTTGTAGAAAATAACTACACTTTTATAATTACTTAACGTATCCAAATATTCTCTATGGACTTAAATCCGGACTGCCAGTTGGTCGTGCCGTTAGATTTCTAGATAATTTTTTTTAATTATACGGACATCTGGTAAATTAAACCTTGAACGGAAATTTCATATTTCAAATTTTGTTTCTTTAACAATCCGTACAGCTTAAAAAGTTTTTAGTTTTATATTCCTTTTTATTATACACTCATGGACAAAAAATGGAATATTGATGTTGACACCGTAACTTTTAAGTAATTACAAACATCTTCCTAAACTTATTATTTACAGCGATAGCATTTATTTAGTAGGCGGTGCAAATATTTTGCCTTATGAAACTTCGTTTTAATAACATATATTGTAAGTTGAGTGTTTTGATGGACGATATTTTCTTAAAATTGTAAGACTCAAGTCAAAAGTTTTAAAAAGGTATCGAGCAAACAGGAGATTACAGAATAACCCTGGGCGCGGGAAAAAAAGAGGTGTACAAGTGCCATAGACGACTGCTTTTTAATTCTTCAGAGCTTACGAAATCACTTATTGACATCTACCCATCTTAAAAACTAGTTGTTAAATTCAAGAAATGTTAGCACTAAAACACTAAACAATTAGACTAAGGTTAAAAGATGCTAACCTAAAACCAAGACATCCTGCCAAAGTTCCAAGGATCTCTCAAAATGACAAAAGGTGTCGATTAGAATTTGCCAGAGCACATATTAATTGGACTATCGAGCAGTGAAAAAATGTTTTATACACAGGTTAGACCGAATTCAGTTATGGAAGCGTTGGCGAACGATATGCCAGTTGTAACCTCATACAGCGTTAGTTTTGATAGTGGTGGCATAATGCTATGGAGCGGTATTGTTTGGGAAGTAGATACCGAACTTGTGACGGTGATTGTTCTAATGACAGCTGACATGTATATTGAACACAGTTTAGAAGAAATGATTTACCATATGCCGGCCATATTGGATATGAGAGATTCATGCTGATGCACGATGACGCACGTCCCCATGTCTCTAGAATATTGAACGCTTATCTTAATGGGGTTCAATTTAAAAGATTATGACCACCATATAGCCCGGATTTAAATCCGCCGATCGAGCATTTGTGGACCACTTCAAAACGTTGAAGTTCAATAAGAATATATTCAAGCAATTATTCAAGATTAGATTCAGAAGACGGTTACTAGCAGTAGTCAACTGCAAGGGAGGAATACTCGTTATTATTTTTATTGTTTTTTTTTTTAACAAAACATTAAAATATGATGTTGTAAGTAATACTTAGTTTCAAGCCATTTTTTGTTTCCATTCCAAAAAGTTTCAATGTTTTTTTTTAATTATTTAATTGAAATGCGTTTAATTTGTATCATTATTAAAGTGTTATATAAAGTTTTCTTTTCAGAAAAAATTATTTTGGTAATATAAACTTATTATATTGAACATATTTTCGATAATTTCAAAATATTCCATACTTTTACCCATGAGTGTATACTTTAGCTTTCCCTTTGTTCTATATCTAAAATGTTATAGATAACAAGGTAAAAGAAAAGCCAAAACGAAAGCGTAAAGTCGCTCGCCAGTTCATTTCATTCGAAGACGATGATAGTTATCTATCGACCAGCATTCCTTCAAGTTCCAGCAGTACTACTTCAGACTCCACATCTTTAGGGGATAGCGGATGTCCCAAAACTAAACCTAAACACTGCCTAAACCAAATAGTGGAGGAAAAGTTCAATAAGTCGCCGAATAAAATGGAAGGTACCAAAGAAGAGCAAAAACCTAAAATGCTTAGAAAGTTGTCTATTGAAAATAGTGGTGCTAGGGATAAATACTCGACAGCTGTACCTGGTAGTTTGACTCCCGTGACTCAGGAAGAAATTGGTGAATTGACGCCCATTTCAGTTGAAGTTAATAAAAATTTCGAATCTCCCGATAACTCTGATGAAATATTAGAGGTAAGAAGTACTATTTTACTTTTGTAAATATGTCATTACACACATACATATATCAAAAACATAATAACAAGATTTGGGGTTTTTCTTAAAAGAACGTTCTTTTTTTGCTAAATTAACTGAAGGTGCATCCAATATCATTGCAGTGGATCATAATATTTTAGTATTATGATTTTGAGTTTGTCATTAAACATAAAGGCATAAAAAAGTGTTATGACCAGGAAATATGTGCAACAATAAGGCACGTAATTACACTGTTCTTTTACTCAATTATAAACATAAATATATAAACGATTAGTAACAAAGTAATAAATATATGAAATAAATATATCAACAAAGTTAAGTGTCAAAGACAATTCTACATATAGTCGAGTGATTCATCTTTGGAGAGGTGCGATAATCTGGCGGTAAAGTCCTATCAGAGATCTAAGAGAGTCATTAATATTTATTATCGACGGCCTTTTAAACACACCTAGCAATCCAATAAGTAATGTAAATCTAAAATAAAAGTACGATTCTGTCCAGAGGCGATTCCCCGCTGCGATGCGGTAGACACTTATTGAAAATAAATATTAATGACTGTCTTCGATCTCTGATAGGACTATATTTATTGATATTATTTTTGCCCACCCTTCCTCTCTACATCATGTCCATAATGTACAGATACATATAGTCCAGTCTACCAAGGTAAAAATGAGATATAGCCTCCGCATATTTCTTTGAAGGTCGATCGGATAGCCAAGCGGGCTGGGCGGCTGGCTTCTCATTCGCTTCAATGCGAGAGATGTCAGTTCAATCCCCAGCTCAGTGTACAGAAAACAAAAAGGCTGACGCAGCAGTTTAAAATTCTAAATGAATCTGCGGCTTAGTCTAGAATATGCTGGTATCTGATCGGCCTATGGTGGAGCAGTACGGCAAGAGATAAGGGCTTGCGGCTCAGTGATACTCCTCCATAAATCCCTACCGGAAGGACGTGTGCCGCCTAAATACCGGGTATATATATATATATATATATATATATATATATATATATATATATATATATATATATATATATATATATATATATATATAATGACGCATAGATTTTTATAAAATTTTGGAAATAAGCTCTACTTATACTCCACATCAAAATTTACCCTATGCCGATGTGCGCTTATTGTTTTTAAGGTTCATAACTATCTTTCTTTTTTGAAAAAAAAACCAATAAAATTAGAAAATGAAGCATGTATTCATTTAAAAAACATTTGTAGGTATAGAATTAGGTTTTTTTGATACTTCAATATATTTGTGGTGATAAACCGAGTGTTATTGGAGTTTGTCGTTTTATAGTGAATTTTTAGTTATATTTTGTGATTATTGAAATACAATAGACGAACAACCGAGTTGTTCCAAAATAAGACAGCAAAATTCTGATGTTGATTCCAAGAATGAAAAGTCGCAAAAGAGACGAAAAATGTAACGTCAGAAGAGAAGGTAATGATACGAAATGTTTATGAAGGAATTGTCGACAGAAAAATGACATCAAATGTTAGCCAAGCGGTCGACATTTGAAGCGGTTTAAGAAAAGTATACATTAGCTGTATTTATGGTGTGATTAAAAATACATCGAAAAATAAAAAACAAGAAAAAGGTATAACTAGAGGTAGAAAAAACATTGTTTTGGTCGACGAGATAAGAAATGTTATACGTCGAAAAATTCAATCATTTTATTTTCAGGGTGAAATTCCAACACTGAAAAAAACTTCTGAAATGATGACTTCTTATCCAAAATATCTCGTAGAGTTTAATCAGGACTATGTGCCAAATGAACTTTCGATATGTAAAACGTTACACAAAAAGTCAAAAGTAAACGCGAAGCATTTATAGAAGGCTAGTCTACATCTAAATTAAAAGATTAAAAGCTCCATTAGGAAAGGATTGGCGTTTAATCGTTACCCATATAGGGTTATATGGGGTTATATTAGGGTTATATATATATATATATATATATATATATATATATATATATATATATATATATATATACAGGGTTCCTTGATGATGATTTGCTTCAATTTATGTTATTAACAACAGGAGATTAACAACAGTCCGTTCATGAAGAACGGACTTCCGAAGTATTTGAGCGCTGGATTCAGAAAATCTTTATCTGGGTCTGTGGTTGTTATGGACAATGTGTCATATCATAGCCGTAGACTAGAACAATTACCGACGATATAGGATATAGAGATCGAAACGTCAGTAAAAACCTGTAAATAAATATATTGTAGCCTATTTCGAACAAAGAATATTTGAAATATATATAATAATTAACATTGAAATGAAAGTGAGTGTATGCCACTTGATTTTCATACATCTTTCCCCCCTATTCTGCATTCAAACAATGAAATCACTCTTCCAAATAGTGGAATCTGACTTTAGTCTATTATCGATCTCCATCTTCGATCACTCCCTATGTGTGTATGTATGAATATCTTTGTCCAAAAACTTGTTGAATGTTTTCAATTTATGTCATGAAGTGTCTCAGATTATCGCTTCACTTTTTTCGGGTTCGGCCTATACTTCTCCGGCCTGTTTGTGATTTATCTTAGGCGATTCTGACCATTCTTTTTTCTTCCGTTCTGCTAATATGTTAATTCCGCTCTTTTTTCCTGTTTAGCACCCAACCGTTAATATCTTAAACACCACATGTATGGTTTCACTTGTTGCCTAGAAGAGTCTTTCCAGCTGTGCCACGAAGTACCTTAATTTGTTGTTTTTAAGCAATCTCTTGATTTTTGTCGTTTCTGGTTGTTTCTGCGTTGTAATGTCATTGTAGGCATTATAGCAGCTTTGTATATTCTATGTTTTTACTACGCCATGTTGTATTGTTTAGACAGTCAGCTATTTTTATTGACCTCATTTTTCGTTCTATTACTTTTGCTTCAACGTCGCCATATATATCGCCAGAACTATCAGGTTCTATGGCTATTTAAACTTCATCTCTTCTGGATTATCGATCTATTGACCTCGAGTTTACATCTTACAGGTGTATTTGATGTTATCATACCTTTTGTTTTTGCGGTTGATATCTTTATGTTGAACGATTTGGCAATCAACGCCGCATCATCTGCATAACACAAGATTTGATTTTAATTTATATCCTCTCATTTTGCGTACTTTCCCTACTGTATCATCTATTATATCTTAATCTTTATTATCTCTATCATAGGGGAAATGTATGAGGTCTTTTAGTTGGATTCGGTCAAATACATTTAAATCGCGTCCAATAATAGCATAGTGTGTTTGATTGCATCTGCTTAATATATTTTTAAGTGATTTGTTTTTACCTTCGCCAGTAGCATAAACGCCAATAATTGTAATATGACTCTCAAATTTTAATATTGTTACTCTTCGTTCGTTCGTATCTCTTTCGTTTTAATCGACTCCGTTGTATATCATTGTGTTTCGTCCAAATATTTAGATCCCCGAAGTTTATTTTTTGTTTCAGTTATGACGACTATATTTATCTTTTTACGACTTTCTAAACGTTGACTAATTTAATATCTGTATATATAAAATGTGAATTGTGTACTCTGTTGATTTTCTCTGAGAACTAATCACGGACATACAGTTTCTTTGTCGCTTCCAACTACACATATTAGAAAGAACTGTAAAAAGGATTGTTCACAGTACACATTTTTCACTTTATACCTTTTTTTGACTTCTTTCAAAAACCTACTTCTAGTTGCATTATTTTTATTTACTCCCTTTAATACTATTTTTTGTATTTCAGCTTCCTACTGATATTAGCGCAGTATTGAGCGCCGTTGAAACTAAAAACAAGGAAGAGATAGACAAAAGAGAAGAGAAGATCGAGATGTTGATGAAAGAGAATGATTCGTTAAAGGACCAAGTCAAGAAGTACCTAAGCGCTATACAAATGCTCAGAAATGACGATGATGAGATTAGTGACATTCTTGAAGATCTGGAAATAGAAGCGCAACCAAATTATAAGGTGGAAGCCAAAATGTTTGAGAAAAAGTTAGTGCAGGTAGGTTATTATTGAAGTTAGTTTCTCATTTTTTAAATTAATGACGAAAATGTGTAACATAAAGAAATTATTTTCTGATTAAAGACTGCGATGGAAAACTAATAATTTGGTATGGTTAATTTTGCATACATATAAGTTATTTATTAACACAACAGTGAAGCATCTACATGACGTAGATGCTGTAATGTATGTAGTATCAGCAGTTCTTTTGTTGAAACTATTCTTTGTTTCACGTTAAGAAAATAACATTACGCTTATGGAGATCAGTGTTGCCAAAACTCTCAGACACTCTCTTTTGCACGGATGTCCAAGATATTTCCTTTGCTTAATTTTTGAATTTTCAGTTTCAATTAATATTTAACTGTGAAGTCAGAATAACTACTAAATAAAAGTCTTATTATCATTATGTAGTCAGAGACGACATAAAATAGCTGACATACGCACATCGTATTATTTTAAGTTGCAATTAGTAATTAGATATACGCATTCCAAGCGGTCAATATTTTCTACTGATTTATATGATTCATGGCATATCGTATTCTCACCGAAAAACAAATAAACTGTCGTTACTATAATTAAAATAAGATAAAATAAAATTATCTTTTGTAAATACTATTTATCTAATTAAAATCATTTTCCCTACTTTTCATCTCTTGTTTCGAATGGCCACTTTTGGTCAATTACGTTAAAAAACATTAATTTAATTCATGTTTGTGGAAACGAAAATACAAATTATACAAACCTAAATTGTGCTTGTGTGTGTCGTGGCAACGTCGTGTTGCTATCGTCCATAAGAAATACATGGCCCTATCTTCGCAATGTTATTTTCTAAACGTGAAACGTAGTATAGGACTTAAAATTGGACATTTTAGGTTGCAGAAATGCACGCAGAACTGATGGATTTCAACGTCATGCTCCAACAAAATATATGCCAAAAAGAATCGTTATTGGAAAGACTCAGGGGAGAACTGGAAGTCCTAAGAGGTCCCATGCCCTCCGATGAGTTGAATAGTGAAGGCAACTTTGGTAGTGTGAACATTTGGATACCCTCGGCGTTTTTGACAGGTAAAAAAATATTTTATAACTTAATGAAGAAATAATATTATATTGGCTATATTTCTTTTCATAACACTAGTAGCAACAATTTGAACAGACTGATCCTTTGATACGCCCTTTTAAGAAGTGTACTCGTATACTTTAATTTTCTAGACATACCTTATCTTTACGTCAGTGTGATGTCGTACAATATGGCTGTGATTTATAGTACTGAAAATGTCAAACTTTTTATACCGAAAATAATATGTAACACTCGACTGTCTTAACGTGACAATGAATTGACGTCTTAGCTGTACTAATAATATTTTCAAACCATGTGGATTTAAAGGCACTGGAGTTGAATAGAATCGAATTGAATTTAAAATAGCTTAAACGGTTTTCCACAACTGTATGCTAAAATAGTACATAATTGAGTGGTCTATTACCAATGATATTGTAAATCACAAAAATTTGTATAACGTGACACGTCACATCAAATCTTCCAAAAACCATTTTTTTTTTAATTATATTTATCGAGAAATGTCATACTTTATACTCGTAGTGGGGTAAAACGATTATAATAATAATTATATTCTTCCGTTATGCCCAAGCCCTTGCTACGCCACTGATCGACAATTCTTAAAGATTCCGATGTTCCGACGCCACGAGCTGTCTAGAAACCTTTCGGAAGGTTTTGAACGTTCGAAGCGAGACAACTCAACCAAGAGATTTGATGTGATTCCGGAACATTGGAACCGACAATGTAAATAAGAGCAATTAATGTAAGAGTCAGTCGATAATATAAATTTGTACGGTTAAGTAAATAAATGTTATAAATTAATTGTCTTTTTAGTGTTAGAAGACTGTAAATAAATTAAAATATCTGCACTATGAGAGATTTAGTCAAAATATATTGCAATCTGCAATTCTTTAATTACAGGTACTGGATCAAATTCTCATCACGTCTATCAAATATTTTTGAGAGCCGGGAACGATGAGTGGAATATTTATAGGAGATACGCTCAATTCCATGCGTTACATACGGATCTGAAGAAACTAGATCCTGTTGTAGGCACTTTTGATTTTCCACCAAAGAAAAGTCTTCGGAAAAAGGTACGTACACAATTTTGCTTTTAAATGATACGACCAAACTTATTTTTTTATATAAAACATGCTTTTTGTACGTTATCAATTATGAAATTGTAACAAATTATTCAGTCTTGATTGATATATTGCAGTACATAGCTAGATAATATATGAAAATAAAAAATATTTATAATGAAATATTTATTTACATTTTCATGTAACAGTTTATCTATGATTTGACTCATTATACTTATCAAAACATATTTTATCGCTTAGCCATTATTGTAACTTTCTTTTTGACCAATATCAGTTGGGTAAACTATGATATGAAAAGTTACCTTTAATAATTAGGAAATATAGTGCTTATAACACTTATTACTGAGATTTTTATTAATTAATTTAACAATGTATATCGGTAGAGTCTCTTCAATATTATCTAAGATATCATAGAAGCATTTTTAAAAACCTTTTTGGAGGATCTTACTGCCACTCTTCTACTAAAGCTGTCTTCTAAATGTAAATTTGCAAGTCGTTCCAGGCAGCGGCTGACTATAGGCAATTATTTACAGAAAGCAGTTAATTTTCGACTTGTGCGTGGTCACATCTTGCGCCAGAAATTCAATATGTGAATGTTTTGAGCAATATGGATGCTGCATATACTTAATGCAGGTCACAAACGAATTCACCTGATACTTTCCGAAAAGTTTTTGGCGCGTTTAAAAAAACAGACGTGTCTCTCCCCAATACGTTTATATCGTATTAACATGGATACACAAATATTCAAACAGCAAGCAAAACCATTTAGGTGGAGCTTACTGCCACTATTCACATTACATATTTCCGTCTACTAACGCGGTCTGATAAATTCACGGATTCGCCTAAATTTCGCAGCACTTCATCGCATGATATCCACCTTACGTGATGCACGTGTTAATAAGCGTTATAAAATAAAAGTCATTCCAGACAGTAGTTGATTGTGACAGATAAAAATTATCTGAACAGTGTATATGTTTAAATGTTATTAATTTTTAATTTCGTAGGATTCTACATTGGTTGAAGATAGAAGAAAACGGCTACAAATATATCTTAGGCGAGTTATAGCTCACTGGCCAGAACTAGCTCAATGCAATTGTAGGTTCCTCCTAGAACAGCATTTATCATTTTTTAAGTAAGTAGCATTTCCCTTACTTGTACGAATTTGAACAAGAGTCCATCTGAGGTTAATTTTTTTTGTTAGTTCCTTCTCTTCACATGTTTCAATATATAGTGTATATCCCATAATTAGTAATATCTTTCTATTTGTTTTTATGTTGAGTATTATCTACCTTATTTGTCTTCACATTTAATTTTGAGCGGTAGCTGCAGCTATCGAAAAAAACTACAGCATTATTTGGTAGAAAATTAAATACTTAAGAAAAGTAATCCTCATAAACATCGGGGTTAATTTTTTCGTCGTAATCTTTAGCGGATTTTGAATCGCACTCAAATAAATCATTCTTCACAAAACCATGTTCGCTACCAATATGCGTGATTATTAATCTTCGACCTTTTCCTGCGGAAGCATTGAAACCAGTAGAATATCCTTCTAAAAAGGCTTGCCGACAACTTTTATTATTTTTATCTAGGCATACTTTTGAAACGTTATGTTTTTCGTTTAGCCTGGTTTTATCTAAATAGAAAATGCATCTTCCTTCTAATCTAAATCTTTTTATCGTTCTTAAATATTGTCTTCGCCAACAAATTCTCTTTATTATTCAATACGGGTTTTTTCTTTGATCTTCATAGCAAAAACTGATTTCTTTAAGTAATTTACATAACTTATCTCGGTGAGGAAAATTATTATCTCTTATTGTCTTTAATATTGTATCCAACGTAGGAATCTCCTTGTTTAAGTGGAACGAATGAAATTCGTGAAACGTCCAAAGGACGTTTGTATGAAAGTCATTAATTTCTATTGATTGTTTTCATTAATATAATTTTGGTTCAGTAATGTTTCATTGTTTTCCTTCACTTAAAAAGCTGTAAATGGTTCTTTCACTAACACCTGTCATACCGGAGCACATAGTCACTACATTAATAACCATTGCTAAAGGTTGTTGATTAAGAGAGTCATGAACATTTAACACGATAATTTTTTCTCTTAGAGAATACGCGTCGTTTATAAGTTTAGCAGCAATAAATTGAAACGATGATGCTATTTTAACGCTTAGACTGAACTGTCAACTGATAACACGGACGGTATAAAATTCGTCACAAATTTCCCTTACTTGGTTGCGAGGTAGGCAGATACCCCAAAGATGATTCGTCAAATTCTTTAAAGTCACCAATAAAGGATTATCCCGTAATGAGATAAAATATTCTACGAATGTAATGGTATAGATATGCCGTATAAATCCAAAAATAGTACCACTATTAAACGAGAGAAATTGCTTCGTGAAAAAATTAAAGAGCTGAAAGAAAATACAGGCAATTCTACCTAAGAGACAACTTTTACAAAACTCGTGCTTTCATTAGTATTAAGGCTTTTTAATTTCATGGGATCTTTTTTAAGTATATGTAACTGAACAAATTAATGCAACTCGTAATTTCTCAAAAAAAAACCTTTTTGGTTTCAACTATATCTTTACGACAATGGTTCATGACATTGACGGTCTCATAACCTCTATTTGAAGATTTGTATTTGTAATGAGCTGCCATGTCATGCCTTAATTATAATTTTAATTATAATTAATAACAAAAATAATAATGTAGAAAAACTAACAGTAAAAAAACGGGGACTGTCGATAGAAGTTATACTTCTATACACGCGGTCGCCGTTACAAATTTATATGGGAGTCAATCTGCACAATCATTACATATGTAATGCTATAGGTAAGAGAGAGAGCAGAAAGAGAAAAAGAATTAGGTATATAGGTATATGGTGCATCGTTTGCTGTATATGAACATTTGACCTGTAATAGAAGTATAGTAAATGAAGGATTGAATCAATATTTTAATGAAAATATATATTTTTATTTTCATATACGTATAAAAGGAGTTGAATGCAAAAAAAATTACAATATAATAATAGTAATATAAATAATATAAATAAAATACAATACAAATTAAAATGCAATAATAATAAGTATTTAAAAATGACAATATACATAACTTACTTAGGCATATGTTTAATTTACCATGATAATAATATTAATAAAAAAATAATAATATTAATAAATATTAAATATATTTACAAAAGGAACATTTTTTATTCTCGATCTTTTGTCTCTCTCTTACTCATATCTTAAATATGTAATGATTTCACCGATTCACACCGTGCAAATCTCCAACGTCGACAGCGCGTATAGAAGTATAAGTTAAAAAAAAACCATTCGATATATCCTCCATCAACTACAAAATATTACAAAATCCAAATTTGTTAAATCGGGTGATCGAGGTGGAAAAGTATCAGTCCCATCTATCGTTCAGGAAAATATTCATTTAGCTATTCTCTTATTGAAAGTCGAATATCATCATGCTGAAAATACATTGGATGCCTTTGATTCTTTCGACTTTGAATACTGTAATAAAGATTTTCATTAGCCAAATACCGACAATTTTGTGATGAAACGGTTTTATTTGTCGTGAACGTTGCTTCAATGATTGCACATAGTCAAGTCTCGTATCATAATCACAATCTAGAAAGGTATGAATAAATTTCGGTTTGAGTGGATGAAATTTGTTTTCGTTAAATATTGTCTGTAAAAGACTTTCTAAAACCAACTTCCGCTGCTCTTTTTCGTAAACTTAACTTTCTGAATGCATAGAGAGCAGTGGCTGCATCATCATCTCCTCCTTGTGCGCCTTTTTTATTTTTTTTTTCTTCAATTTCTTTAATATTTTTTTAATCTATCTCGGATAACAAATACATCTACATATTTTTCAATAAATATTTTAAACATCCCCAATATCATAGCACTTTACAAGGTATATGCTTGATTGAAGAGTTAGTATTTTTGAAAAATAATGACAATTGTAAAATTATTTACCAGAATTAAAAGTTACTTAGGTAAATTTTAAACGCCACTCACTAGATTATTATTACATTTTCAAACTTAAGTCTGCTTGCCATTATGCTAAATTCAGTACTGAATTTAATACTAAAAATATTGTATCTACAGATTAGATATTAACTAAAAGTGAGGTGAAACTTTATTGTTAGGTCATCAATACAAAATTGGTAGAGCGCATTCCTACATGCTAATTATAATTAAGATAGTTGCAAACATACATACATATTTTTCATACTAAATCGACTAGCGCAACTAATATTTTTAGTCCTAAAATCAGCACTGAAATTAGCATAATGGCAAGCGGACCTTAGTGCAAAATTCGTAGTGATTTACATAAAACTAACTATACAATGAAGTAGGTTTTAAAAATTGGAATGTTATAGCATTTTAATCGTTATTAGATCAATCAAACATAATATTTAGGGATAATTTAGGAACTAATTCAAAACAAATTCATCAAAAATGTAGTCATTGCAGTCGCACATTTATGCAAATGCAATGATGTTTATTGTAAATTATTGTTTTTTGAGTACTAAATTTTGAAAAACTACTAAAACTCGACAGGCTATTTTGATGTACTGTTTTTGTTATGCATTGAATTAGACTAATATAAATATTAATGTTGTAGGGACCAACGAGAAGACCTCCACCACAAAAACGCTAATCCTATACGAAGAAATACAGCTCCTAATACCAATAATCACTCAGGTCTTTAATAATAATTCCATTAACTAATTTTATATTTATTTGAGATTATTTGAGATTAATTTAATTAGAGCGATAAAGTAATGTTTACATCATGTAACTGGAATAATTCTATCTTCGGGGAAGTCCCGAATAATTTCTTGTTTTAATATAATCTATCAGGGATTTAAAAAGTGATACTTAAATCCTTAAACAATTTCGTATTGTTTGTTATATAAATTAAAAGAGTTTGTTAATACCACGGCAATATAATTTGGAAACATGTTATTGTTTGAAAACGTATTTAAATTAAAAGGATTAAGTTATTATAAATTAAAATATTTTTATATTTTCTTACAGTATATTTAATCCTTCAAGTATATGTAAACAGTGCTTGCGTTATCTTAGAGGTGCAAAAAACCTTAAAAGTTTTGAGAAGTATGGATGTGTGAGAGTACTAAAGGCTTTGACGGTGGAAAAAAATTAAAACTAAGATTGGTATTATTATAAATACTAATATTAAACTTGTTCTGAGTAAACTAGTCTCTGAGTCAAGCCGCTTCGATTTTGCCCCTGTAGAGCTTTCGGCTCTGTTTTTGGACTATTTACAGTACATACTGGATCTTCTTTCTCATCTTCTTTCTCATCTTACGCAATTGCTTAACTCACATCGACCAGAATGACGACAAATACATTAATTATAAAATTATTCAGAATGTCAAAACTTCATATATTGAGTTTATTGAGCTTCGATTACGTCCAATTGGTCAGTTTGTTCTTGTATACCTTAATTTTCAGATATCCCTCCATAAAAGCTTATAGAACCAAGATAAGACTAATTAATGGTGCCTCTACGAGAAATCACTTTGTTAGGGAACGATTCGTTTACCGCAGACATTGGTGGGTCATAAGTATGCTAAGTGGCTTCGCTTTGCCAGAACCATGTTCTTTAGTTATATTCTTTAAAATCCTGCAAATATTGGACAAACAATCTTCTTAGCATTTTGTAGTATTATTCAATAGTGAGTGGTCATCAACATTGTTCTCCGTGGAAATACGGACCGATGATGCCTTTACCAGACAGTGCAGCCCAGATTATGACCTCTGAGCTATAAAGTTGTCGCTGATATTTCTGTTAAGATTCTCCCCTACCAAATAGTGACATTTCTGCCCGTTTAAATGAAAGTTACTTTCGTCGTTAAACAGAGTATTTTCAAAGCTAGTGAATCTCTGCGACATTGCAGCATTCTTCAGTTCTTGAACCAACGAGGCTCCATAGATCTTTTAGATGTATATCTTTTTTAAAATCAAGTGCAAAAACAATGTTTATTTTCTTTTGGGAATATATAATGATGAATTTTGATGGAAGCTCTTATTTCTTTACCTAGAGGTAAAGAAATAAGAGCTTTAAGTTGCATAAAACTTGAATTCTCAAAGTTGATCCGGTATTCTCGAACATCGAATCCAATTTCTGAGAATGATATTTCGCACGTGACAAACGCGAACTATGGAATCACAATTTCGGTAAAGGCTCGTACGCAGAAAAGAACGATGCGTTTTATGGATTTGACTCCATTTCTACTGAATCTCCACGAAACAGTGCGCGTAGCTATCCATATCCGGAGCTCCTACATTGCCCCAATACAACCTCAACACAAAAACAAAACCCTCTACTCTTTATGAATACTTTATTTTTAATTTTAAATGGGCTCTTCCAACTTACGTTGGCGATTTGGCCTTGCTAACGATAACATATTTCCAAAAAAGAAAGCTGTTTAATTTGGTAAAGCACGACATAAAAATGATTATCCGAGTTTCTCTATTTTTATATAAGATCAAGTGCAAGTTAAAAAGATTTATATATTTATATCTTTATTTATCTATATATTTACTTTTAGTTAAATATTACATTAAATTTTTGGGACAATAAAGATCGGTCACTTGCCTGATTTGTGTTAATAATATGCACATGTTACCATGTAAATACCAGGAGATAAGAGCGCGCATCGGAAAAGCTAGATCCACCTTTAACCAGCCACAACCTCTCTCTTGGTATAAAAGGAAGAATGCTGCGATGATACGTCTTCTCTGTTCTTTTTAAGGTGTTAAATCGTAGACCTCAAAAGAAGATATGTGCAGAAGATTAGAAGCATTTGAGAAGTGCTTAATATTAAGTGGACTGACCGAGTCACAAATGAGAAGGTCCTCAGAAGAACGAAGAAGACCCGATAGGTACCAGGATCAGGTTTTGAGGCAAAGAATCTGGTGCCTCAAAATCTGTGCAGCTTTTCTGCGCTATCACAGATAGACATCGGGAAGAAGAACTGTGTTGGGTCCAAATGTGTTTAGTGTTCACCAGGTTTTGCATGTTAAATTGAGAGCACAAGAACTTTCTGTTATGCAAGTCATATTTTTGCCGAGTTCAGCATTTTACCAGTTGCCATTTATTATTAGTTAATTAAATTGTTTGTTATATTGAATTTGGTTTTTGTGGTCCATTTTGCGGTTTACTAGAACGTATTTGGGTTTTATAGATATCTTTAATTTTAATATAATTATTGTACTGTTAACTACTTTTTATGTTCACTTGTCAGCATGTTGAGTTTTTGGACTCGTAAGGGTGGAATAAATTCTGAAATTACAAATTCAAACTTCCTCCGTGTGTGTCCTTATGGATTTGGCGATGAATTGTCAAATATCGAGTGCCCCACGAATCGAAAGATAGTCAGCTGAAGAGTCAACAACCATTATCACAATATTTTTCAAAGAATAATTCCTTTTATACCCCTGATATATCCCTAATTGTATATTGAAATTTAGAGTTCAAACTCGGGTAGTCTCTTCTAAGTTATGCTGTACTAAAAACTACATTAACAGCTTAGTTTTTTTTTAAGAAATTTTTAATTTTTAAACTTGTATTTTTTTCGAAATAGTTTTCTATGTGTGATATTTAAGAAAATAACGATATGGAATATTAAACATCTCGAAAAAATATACTGTAATATGTATTATGTTATATTAACATTTAGTAAAATACAGTAGTCTGACTAAACAGCATCTATGTATATCTTGCTAGATAGGTGATTTTTATTAATAATATCTTGCTCTTTGGTCAGACTACTAAGATCTGAAATCATCGCAATAACTTTTAATAACCTGAAAATTTCCTATCTTCGATATTATGATTTTATACAAACATTGTTTATTATGTAAAGATGTATATATAAATTTTTATTATGTTTATTATAGAGAAAATATGCCAAATAAGTAAATGGAGAAAATAGTTTAATTGTTTTATTGATAAAATATCCCTACCATAAAATAAGTAATTAGTTCCTTCTCTAGTAATTAATTATTTAAGTGCTCTACACTCAAAGAGGGACCTAAATGTAGGGACAAATTTGTTCACGTTGCTTACACATATAAATACGACATCAAGTTTTAAAACAACACGGTCAAATAAAATGTTTAATCAAACAGATGGATCTAAGATAGACTTAGATCCATCTATAAGATGGATCTAAGAATTTAGTTTCAAAGCTTATAATACGTTGTTGATCTTTTAGAGTCATGCACCATGTTTCACATCCACATAGCCTGGCCTTATGATAGTGTTGTATATATTATACTTTGGCTTTCTTGACACGAATCGGGATTTTAGCATTTTGTGTAAAACACCTACCACTCATCAAAACCCATTATCTCTCAGTATTCTAGTAGCTATCTCTTGACTAATCTCATTGGTATCGTTGATCGTGCTACCCAGGTAAACTCCTTGGCAGTTTCTTAATCTTAGTATCAATTGTTATTATGTCTCTATAATTGATTATTAATCCTTCTTCTAATCGACTCCGACGAATTTAAAGATGCATTTAATTAGTCTTATGGATGCCAGAAAAAAAAACATTTTAACAGATATAAGGCTAATCTAAAAGACTGTAAAGGATTATCTTCCAATAAGGGATTTAAAGTTTTCTGTTGAAGCTTTTAACTGTAAACATATAGTGTTCACCAATTTTTTCTTCTTCTGGTGCACTCCATTACAGGAGTTTTGCGATCGAACGAAGATATTTCCGTTATCCTTTCACTGACACTTGCAAACGATGAGTCGCTTATAACATGAAAATAAAAAGCTGTGTAGTTTTAGAAAAAATCAGAATGGAAACAGAAAAAGAGTTACACCTACGGAAGGCAGAAGCAGCTCGAAGTGGAATGAAGGAAGATGCAGCCAAGAACAAAGATACCACAACAGTAATTACATTTGATTTGATGAAAACAGGTCAGATACATATGAATGTATGGCATGAAGGCGTGACCAACAAGAAATTAGTTCTTGCATTTTATATTACGTAAAAACGTATGTTAACACACCAGTTTTGATCTTGTACAGCGATCAATGCGGAGGTCAGAATCGAAATATTAAACTGACATCTATTTGTACATACATGACTGTTTCCAATATTTTCAGTCCCACAGTCATACATCACAAGTTTCTAGTTTCCGGTCACTCATATTTGCATGTGACAGAGACTTTGGAGTGATCGAAAAACAAAAACGACATTTTAAAGATATTTTTTTTGCCAGATGATTGGGTGAAAGTTATTTCCAGTTCCAAAAAGAAGAATAAATTTCAGTTATTTAAAATGACCTCTGAAAATTTTAAGTGTACTGAAAAACTATAGAAGTCACTTACAAATCAAAAAAAAGGAGAGCAAGATATAAAAGTAGAATGGCTTAAAATATAGTGGCTAATGTTCAAAGCAGAAGAGCCATTCAAAATTTTTCTAAATATTCTAATAACCAGAGTGTATTATTTAATTAAACTTTGATGGTACACAAGGCAAATATCGAACACAGTAGTTAATCAAATCTTGCCCAAGTACTTTCGATCACAAGATCATCCTCAGGGGCATTTCGTCAGTTGTGGCCTATCCAGCAGTAACAGAATGTCATAAATGTAAATTGGGACATAACAAATAGACTAAACAAAGACAAACAAACACTTTAAAATTTAAAAATTGAGAAGCTACATTTTATATAGAAGCCGGAGACAGC